CGTGATACAGGCTGGCTTCAACTCGGACTTTTTTCGGGTCGAGTCACAGGCAGCTCAAGCCATCAGTCATTTTGACATCCCTAGTTGTTCCCAAAAGAGTGAGCTTGTACCTTATAAATTTTATGTGATACATTATCTGTTACATGAATATAGAATAATATAAAAAATTATTACAGTAAGAACATGAACATAAACAAACAAAGAACGAAAACTGCAGAAATATGTTAAGCGCCGAAAATATTATAAATCTGTAAATTGAAGCTTGTGTGTACATAGTTTCCTTAAAATAAATTCGTCCCCTCATTATAGATGCTTGAAGTTTAGTCTGAACATTTATCTCCCAGGATACAATGGAAGAATCGGTAGAATTTGAGTACTTCAATTACTATTCCGACGAAATGAATTTGTGTCAGAACAGCACCACCAAGACTTAGACAAAAATGAAAATTTTCTGTGAACTGGAACTGAAAATCATGCAGAAGAGAATGTAATTTTTCGGTGTTGAATAATGGGAAAATGAGCTCAGTTACAAACTTGGCCCCCATGAATGGTGAGTAAATATGTCCATTAAATCAATACTATAATGGCAATAACTATTGGAGTTTCAACGATTTCGAAGCTAAAAAATCAGTTGGAGAAAGTAAAAATTAGCAAAACGAGGACATTTCTAAGGAGCCAATTTTTGTTCCGTTCGGTCCGACATTCGTGTACGCACACAAGTTCAAGGCTCAATGTACAATTTATGATCTTTGATTTGCACCCCCTGCACTGCACATGAAAAAAGCCTCTATGCTACAATGATGCACCCTTCCAAAGTGTAACCACATGTAAAGTGATCATTGCTTTCATCAACTTTCTATATAGGATAAACTTAAATATAATTTTCCCTCCAATATAAAATATCTTCCAATGGTCCAATTTGAATTCTAATTTCTCATTTACCCTTTTATCATTTTTGGTAAGTAAATATATGATCTCGATATTCTCACAGATGAGAATACGGATCAACTTTGATCTTCCAAACTGAACCAACGAGTCTTGCCTAAAATTGTACCACAAGTCAACAAAATCATTTTTCCAACAATCTCCTACATGAATGAAAATTGGGAGCGACACAAAAATGTGAGACATAAAGACTTGGTAATATAGTTCAACGGTTGAAACCTGCATATGATAGATAGATATTACTCTTTGAATCTTTTCTTGCTAAGCATATTTACTTTACTAGCTGACCATTTAACGTGCTGTCTTTGAACTATTTTACCGTTTATGTAAACGATGATATACTCCACACATGATTTATCCTAACACAATTCAGTTCTCATTATCATGCATATGTTCATGGCGAAAAACGAACATGATAATGAGAACTGAATTGTGTTAGGAAGAATCATGTGTGGAATATATCATCGTTTAC